TAATTCTTGATTTTAGAAATTTAAACTATAAATTATATTATACGTAAATGTGGCTTGTTGTTCAGAGTCAATCGTAACACCTGATGCCATTAAAATGCTCGATTTACGACGCACTTTCCCGCGAGGTGCGAAATAATTCAGCAAAACAAAGCGTTTTGCAAAATAACTACGCATTCTCTACGCTTATCAGCGCGCGGAGGTGCTATCACGTTATAATTCTCGAGTGAGACAGGCAGAGCATAGTGCACCGGAATCGAGGAGGAGGATCAACTCTGAACGTCTACATTAAGACTTTTGTCGGTGGTCGTATGTTAAGCCACGAGACATCAGTATACGAGTGCAAGAACCTCTTTCCCTCGTCCTTTCCGCTTCTCCGTATCCACCGCCGTGTTTCCTCCTCGATTCTCCTCGTTTCATTCGCGATTTAAAGGAAGTCCCACACGACGACGCCGCCACCGCCGCCACTCTCCTCGCAAGACGCGCGCAATTACGAGGATGTAATCCACGCCGCGACGAAACTTCAATCGTTATAACCGAGTTGTCTGGCAAGCCGCCGCTGCAGCATGCCGCGGCGAGAAACAGCCCCGACGAATGCAAACTGCGTGCCTACCGCGGCGATGATGACGAGCGCGACGAGACACGTGCCTCCGTGCGCGTAAACTCGTACGTGTCGCCGCTGAATTATGAAACTCTCCTTCCTCGACACCCGCTCGCCGTAAATTAATTATTACGCGCCTGCGAATGACTGTATCGGTCCGCAGTTCAGTGGATGAATGTGTCAACGTCGATGGGTCAATCTCTGCTTCCGGTGCCAGCGATAATTGCGGCCTTATTATTTTCCGCGTTTTTTTTCTCTTTCTTTTTCGAGCCACCGTGTTATCTTGATTCGTGGAAAGTTTCGAATAACTTTTCCATAGATGCTTTGTACATTACTCTTTTATTTGTAGTAATTATTCAAAAGTTGTAATTAATGCATTTGAAATATAATACAAGCGTCAGTCGTACAATTCTGAGAATTAAGCTAAGTAGTCTGGTAAATCAATATTCTAAACGTGATGTCGAAACTATGGACAGTCTGCAGGATCATTTTGACCTGCAAAGTGTATCAGAGGCTAAACGCACTCGCAAACAACATGTTTGAAACCCATTCGCGCTCGTTAGCCAGATTCGAGGCACAGGATCATTATTAACCCATAAGTATGCGCGCAATTTCTCTCAACACAATTGTGTATACAGTATAACTGAGAAGCCATAATGTTTTCCAATAGTTAGTAGTGTAACCAAACAAAACAAATATTCATACTCTCTTAAATATCTATAAAATACCATAAATATGAGAATACATTGGATTAAAAAAAATTATTGCTGCGTTTTAAGTTGCGTCAATATTAATTAATACGAAATTAAATTCAAGTTTATACTATTAGTCATTGCATGTTAGCGATAAAGAATGCTGAAAATTATGAATATTAATCTTAATTAAACAATTTAAAAATATATAATGGTATATTTTATCTTCAGAAAATTATCTGTTTTAATGTAAACAAGATTTTAATTAATTGTTAATTTCAATAAGCGGATACGCGCGAATAAAACTTGTAGTTTATTTTAAATTATTTTAAGAAGCGTGAAGCATCTATAAGGAAACACGTGATATTTTCGTCAAGGTTGATTAAATTATTCATCTGAATCAGTATGTTCGCGTCGCGTTAGAATTATGTAGATAACCTTGAAGAAGTGACGCGAAATTTCAAGAAAGACGGGACGCAAACCGACGCGCGCAAGCCGCCGTTTCTCTCTCTCTCTCTCTACATATGTACGTACACGTAAATTTTATCAGACACGCAGTCGGAATTATAAGCGACACGCGAAGGATGCCGCCATATTCGGCAATGAACGAGGAAATATAGTTACGAGGGGGCGAGACTGCACCCTTTGCGGAGGACGACGGTCGTGGTTTAACTACTGATATATATGCACACTTAGAATTAACAAAGAAGGGGGAAATAAACTGAAATATATATAGAGAGAGAAAGAGCTACGTTTTATGGAGAAAAGATTTTGTTACATGAACTACATTTTCTTTTACCGGTTGTTTTTCAGCGATCCTACAGTGAGACAAAAAAATATGACATAAAATTTGTCAAATTGTACGTGCTCGAGAGAAAAAATATGTTATAATGTAACAATAACAGAATACATATCCAATAACAGAGTATGAAATGTATACTAAAGTATTGAAAAAAATATGATATATCCTGCGTCGTTATTTTTCGCGCATTTTGTACAAACTGCAAGATTCGTATTTTGACTTTGTCTCCAATTGGATTTGTCCAAGAATGCCCCGGCATATTACTGTTCCGCAGTCCGACCGTTCGCGGCGAACCGTGTCCGTCTCAGATAGTAAAAAGCAACGCGGAACAGAAGGAACATGTAATATATAAGAAAAAACAAGATTATTATTACTTACAAACAATAAAACAATAATTACAAGATGCAAATCAGTCAAAAGTAGATTATAATTGAAGGATAAAATGCGGGAAAATATTCTCGTCCAAATTTTCGTAACGAAGAATCGTATGTTTTTTTTTTTTCTCTGACACATTGGTCACCTAATTTAGCTTCAAAAAATAAATTTTTTATTTGTACGTTTTGTGATTTATTTTTGTGGGAAAATAAAATTTTTATTTTATATTTATCCTTATCATGGATTCTCTGGGACAATTGGCCAGAGTATTCATCGGTGTTACTCGCAGAGTGTTCATTATTTAGCAAGCAAGAGCGACAAGAGAAATCGCGATGGGAGGGCACCTGCCTCTCTAGCAGCCGTCGTGTGATACGCTCCGTGCACTATTTAAGATTACAGCTTTCTTCCTCGCGAGAAGAGGCAAACTCCGGCTGGCAGGGCGGGGCTCGCGCGAATTCAATCCGTAACGTCGGAAAATTAGATCTCGACTCGACTTCTGCGCGGCGTCTCGCTCCCGTATCACTTTGCCCGGGAAGAGGCGGACGAGGTGTTACTTCAAGGCAACCAGACAACCGCGGTCGACTCTGGTCTTCCGTAAGACAACGGAAACGGTGAAACGAGCGGGGACCGGCGCGCGCGTTAACTAAAGTGGCTCGTTAAGCGTCTTTCGCGCCGTGAGAAAAATCTCGCGTTCTCGTAAAGTGACATTTTTTTACGCGTCTAACTATGCAGTGCCATGTATTTAGAGAGAATACGCGTTATTTAAGCAGCGTATTAAAGAGCGTACGTATTTTGAGAACTTGGTCGCAATTATCGGGATTATTCACTTCTTTCTTGGCCATTTTTCAACAACGATCTGACATAAAAAAAATCAATTTTACGTGGTGCAAACGAGCTTCATTTCCTTATCGTTACACCGGCCGCATATAATAGTCGTTAAACGCGACTTAACATTCCCATTCTTTTCTGATAAAACTATACGCAACCGTAACTTGGAATAGCGAGTAAACATGAGGAAGGTGGGGTTAAGCGCTACTCGGAGCAGTGTTCATAAATGGGTGCCGGCGTTTCCAAACTGGCAAAGACGGCTCGTTAAGTTGCCGGGATCGTTAAGTATGCCGCGGGTCTGTCAGCCGCGCGCACGCAGAGGGTAAAATGTCTTTGATACTTGTGCAGATTGTTATGTCGGCGGCAGCTAATACTCACAGCAGCTAGGCGGCAGCGAGCGCGTAATACCTCTGCGGTTTGCTATCGCGCGTCGCCGACGACGATTATAGGCGGCGGAAAGTATCGAGATGTGTGTAAATGAGGTTTGCAGCGACTGTTGTTGCTTCCTGTAGCGAGCGCGTTAGCTCTCTACCCATCTTCCTGTCTCTCTATTTCTCTTTCATCCTGTCTCTCACTCTATTGTTCGTATCGCCTGAAGGTTTCATCAGAAACGTAATGAATACGATAATTAGCGTGATGTTTATCATTAATGCAGATAAACCAATAATGTTATTAAACAAGGATTACATTTATCGTTAGTTATTGTATTACCCACGTTTGTGGTAGATCGTGTGGTTTTGAAATTTCTGGCTGATTAATATCTCTCTGCTGATGATTCAATATAATCCTGAGTTTCTGAAATTTGAATATCTTTTTAAATGCGATATTATTTCGTGGTTACGTGATTCGGAAAGCACAATTTTTTCTGTAAAAAGGAAATCTTTATGTGGTGGATGAAGGCTTAATGAGGCACTATAATTCTTGAAAGGTCTATCTGATTTTCTCTCTGTTCTAATGTGAATACGATCGCGCGTGTTACGCCAGTTGGCTTATGTTAATGATAGTTGGCAAACTGAGGCCGGGATGATTAATTGCGTGAGCCAAGTGGGAAGCGGTCCGATTGTAACTGAGCAACTATCGATTAACTCAGGCGCATCTTGGCACTTTATCGATGCGGGCATCATTGGTATTGGGTCGTTCAATTAATTGTTTCGCAGTTTGGCAACTTATCGCAAGCGATTTCCACAGTGTTTGCCGTAGAAAAGATCAGCTATCTCAGCAATACCTTGAATACACCAATCAATGCTTTACCTGTCTCTAGTAAAAATGTGTATATTATTGTTAAAAATTTGATATTAAAAAATTATCCAAGTTTTTGCTAATAAAAAAGCGATTTTAATTAATCAAAGTATTCCTATATAAATAGACAGAAGCATAAGAAAAAAAAATATATATATATTTTTATAGTAAATATTAATTTGCAAAATTTTCTTGTAAAGATTACATTTATTTTGTTTGAGTTTATTATGAATACGACACGCAGGGTAATTTTTCCTTCATGAATTAAAAATCTGTTATTTTTGTGTTAAAAATACGCGCAAAGCGTTAAAGATACGATTCACATTTAGCGGCCCTTTTATGAGGTAAGCCTCTATCGGAAAACCGTCATCTTTCACAAAGTTAAGTCCAGACTAGAGCACGAGAGAGGTCGCATCCCCTTAAAGCCGATTGTCGCGTGGAGTATAGCGTAGAATATTTATTTACAGATATTATCATCGTTTTATGCGACGTGTTTTATTGGTAATGTACGCCGCAATAATATCCTGGTAAATCACTTCGAAAAGTATTTTATTCTACGATCTCACCCTCGTCAAATAAAAGTTGATATAGTTTTATAACTCATATCAGATCTACTGCACAATTTTTTTCGCATTATGCATGACTGGATATTTATTTTTTGTGTTTTTAATATTTTTAAAACATGTTGGAGAAAATGTTTGAAGATGTGCTTCAAAAGCTTTCAGTTTTTCTCATTACGGAAACATTCCTATTGTATTTTCGTTTGCGTTCAATAGTTTGGAATATGGGGAATAAAAAATTCGAAAATTAAAAATAGGAATATGTAGAACGTATTATTTTTAATTCACTAAAAACTATTATGTCCTAATTTTCTTTATTTAAATGAATATAAATTTAGCATCTTAACTATAAATAAAGTTCTATGTATGAAATAAATTATGTCAAATCGCGCTGCATTAAATCTTCATAGGAAATTTATGTAAGATGTACATGTATAACTGTCAAATAAAATATGCAATGAAATATTCATAATACGAATGGCAAATTTACTCCACCAAAATTGTGTGACCTTTCGACCATTGACGTACGTGTCTCCACGCTTTATCGACCTAAATATAACCGATAGGATCGTCCCAATTAGTTATATCACCGAGTTTGTCGGTTTGCCACGGCTAATTTCAAACAACAACTATATGCATTCGAGCTTACTACATCGAGAGAGAGAGAGAGACAAAGTATCGAAATCAGTATTAATAGAAAATGTAAATGCAGCGAAAATAAGAAAATATTGGAACTTTTTTTCTATTCATATGTAAAACTTTTAATACAAATGTTTAATCTTAATCTTTCTTAAATTTAATTCTTAAATTCTTATCGTCATTAGCGGGCGAATATCTTTAGTAAATCGTTTCTTTTAACATTCTAAAGCAATCGGCACCATTTTGAAGATTTCGGTGCCATTTTCGTATAAGCGAAGGAGGAATGCAACTAGCGAAAATGCTCGAAGCGGCGAATAGACCACCATTTTCGCACCTAAGTAAATTCCACGCGTACCTTCCGCGGCTTCGCGCGTTTCTAAAACGTCGCCGAACTGCTATTAGAAGCGCTCTCTCGGGAACTTCCTAACGATACTTCCGTCGTCACTGTGTCGCCGCGGTGTTGTCACTTCCGGCGAAGTCCGCGATCGCGCGTGAAACTTGCGCCTCGTTAGATTTACCCGTTGGCCGGTATTAACGGCCACGAGGATATAAGGTGCGACGCGCGCCCGAAACGAACGTCGCTTTCGATTCGAATAAACGGCGGAAACTTCGTACGGCGTAATTGAAGCACGGTGTGCGCCGGAAAAACTTTCGGCCGGACCAGCTGATTCACGCGATGCATCTGCGGCTCGTAAATCGTGAATAAATCGGTGTACCATAATTCGTCGGATAATTTTTAAAAAGTACATGTACTCTTCGCGAAAAAAGTCGACGCATCTCAAATAAATCTCGCCAGAAATTTGGCGTACGCTACGCTGATGAAAAAATGAAGAAACGATAACAAGAGAATTATTTATTAAAGGAAATCTGTGTCTTAAATGTTACAAATTTATATTTTGTAAAATGTTTGCGCAACTCGAAATTACTTTATCGAAATGCGTCGAATTTTTTTTATAAACAATATACACTTATTCATATGTACGGAGTAAAATAGTAATTTAAAGAAAGATTTGCAGGATTGATGTTCGAGGAAAGAACTGACTTTGAATCGATCCCCCCCTCGAGTCTCATCGTGTGAGACATGCACGAGAATTGATAGTCATTCCTATCCGTATGCATCGACTCGTATGAATCCGCGGGTGCTTAGTGAGGCACATACCTGACTCTTCATGGGATCCGTGTTGATCTGACACATGTAGAGACCGCCGTCTTCTTTCTGCACGCCCTTGATGTGAAGATTCCACATGGTGTGATCGCTGTGAGATACGGATACCCTCTGGTTGTGCGTGATCACGTGGTCGTGTATCGCCTGGATCGCCTTCGTGTCCGCCTTCACCCAACCAACCTGAAACATCAATCGCCGGATCGCACGGGCTTTAATAGGGGGGACGGGGAAGCGGAGGGAAGCGAGTCGGCGTCGGAAATCGCGGTGACGCCGTCGCGGATTTTGCCGAAGACGCCGCAATTTCCTCACAGGCATCCGACTGCGGAATACAAACAGATGTGAGGGATGCCTATCCTCTGATGTGTGCGTGTACGTACACAGACAGACGTGTATACATGCATGGCAGGCGCACACAGGCACACACTCGTACACGGATTGACACGCACGATTCCCCTTGGCCAAACTTCCAGCAGTATTTGCATTTTCCTTAGAATATTCCGAATCCCGAAGCGAGGAGCTCTCGCGATTTCACGCGAGCGAGCAGGCGAATGCACGCATACACATCGGCAAGTTACACCGTGCGCCCATACTCTGACTGGTAATAGAAAACCGGATACCTGATCACGCCGTGGCTCTGTCATTACTCTCGTCTAATATATACGCGCGATAGTACGAGAATATCGTTTTACATTCGGTCGACAAAAAGAGCCATCATGTTTTCAAAGTGAAAGAAAAGGGCTTAATAATTTTCATGCTTTCTAACAACAAATGCACCATCAATCATTTTCATGCTTTTCAAGTACAAAGTTAATATCTTTCATATTTACGTCTTTTGCCAACAAAGAAAACACTGTTAATCTTTATTATAAAAGAAATCGGTTATTTTAATTTTTCTTTTACGAGAGAAAGAGCATAAACTTCGCGTTTTTCATTTATAAAAGATCGGTCTGCATAAAACGTCGGGCTTAATAATAACTATGAAAGCTCGCTCGATGTTCCAATCACTCAATGTAGAATTGTTTAAACAAAACATCGGTGAAACGAAATCGCGCTTGTGATGTCAGTCACCTCTCTGATTTGACTTTTAAATTCCCTCTTAGAGCGTAGACTATAAATGGAGAGGCCGTCTTTGATATTGTCTTCAGTAACGACAGATTTCTAGTACATCGCAATTGTACTTCATATAGATTTAATTACTAGTTCTCCGCTTGGAATTGTTTTATTAATTCACCAAGATAACGTTGTCATTTATTTGCATGTAATCAATGGGCTCGTTATGCCGCGCGTTTATTGAATTAATGATAATAATAATCGCACAATCTGCGTACGTGTATATATATGTGTGTGTATATGCGATATGCAACAAAGATGGAAACAGAGATACGATCGGGTTAATCCGGGAATAGAATGCGTTCGAATGTTGATATTTCGCTTCTACTTCAGCTGACTGCCGACAGAGATTCGGGATCAACGTGAAATGTAATCGGGTCTTCTATTCTACGGTTTACAGTTTCGTCGGATGTCAGATATGGATAGCCCCGGTCTACGGAGATCCGGGCACGTCTGACCGGCTACGAGCAAATACACGTCGGTTAGAAGCAACTGGTTATACTATAATGATATAACCAGTCGCTAGTTATACTGGTTTCTCTCCGTGGCGTGATGCAATTTGCGAACGTGCGAGGAGATACGGTAATGCGTAAAAAAGATAATCCCACCATGGTAGCGATACGGATAAAAGTGTTATTAAATTTCGCGAAGGCGCGAATTTGCGGCCGGTAATGGCGTGTGTGTTAAGTCGAGTTATCCCATCGTAAGGCGCCCCGCGCGATCGATGACGCGATCCGTAATACGAGATTAGCTTTATAGAAAGATTTTCGTTAATGCGTCGGGAGGGGAGAGTCTCGTAGCTCGTATCTTCTTATAGGCGCGTGTATCGATAAAAGTTCGCTATCCGGTCTGAAAGAAGAAAAGTCGGGCAAAGTGTGCGGAAAAATTCCTCTCTCGAGTTTTCCTCCGCTTTTAAGTGAGAATTTTGCGGATATCAAGATCGACTTTTACGTCCGCGAAAACCGTACGGATGGATTATTCAAAGCGTTAAATGTATCTTCCGTGTACTTGTCTCGTCGAGAATACTTTTTTTCATCGCAGACTCGCTTCCGCTTATAAAAAAAAATTATTTCCAGATGTAAAAATGTCAATCTCTTTATATGACAAATGTCGACGAATATTCGTTGTCCGTAATATGAAGTGATTCTAACAACGCGGTCTTCTGTTCCTTTATTCCGTCTTTTTTTTTTTTGTCTGTTACCGAATTTTCCGATACAATCATCTGACATTAACACGGCGCGTATACATGCCTGCAACAATGAAACTATATCTATACTACGGTGGAAGTTTGGCCTGGCAGCAGATATGACTTTTTAAAGGCGCATCCTTTCAGAAGTTAAGTGAGACCTCGCAAAGTTAAGCGGGCGTTACGACATCGCAGACACGCCGCCGCTTTTCATGCAACTTACCCTGTAACCGCCTAGATGTTTCACCAGACACGTAAAAGTGGCGTCCCTCCCGAGTGGCACGGTTAGATTGGTGATAGGGCCGGAGAATTCGGGTTGAAAAGCACCGCCTGAAACGATAAAATACGACGTTCGTGAAAAATACATACGCCATTTGCATACCGCTCCGCCGGCAATTTTTCGACGGCGATGTCAATTCGCCGTCGTGCAGAATGCACTTTATGGAAAGCGAATAAACGTCAGAAAGTCGAACGTACGCGACTCGGCAAAATGCGGAGACGCGTCTCGCGGTTGCAAATTAAATGCGTAGACGTGACGTCGAATTAGCGAGAATCGTTGCCATATGCGCAGCACTTAAGCGTGCTTCCATATGCGCGAATAACATTAATGACATTGCGGTTGATATCTTCTTCGCGTCTCTTTCACTCTTTAATAATTATTTTAAGGATTACCAAAGTAGCAAAGTTTACGAAGAAAATATCCGCCATAATCATTCCTCTACAAGTTTGTCTTTAAATATAATGTATAATATTTCATTGATTTTTTAATGTTATTTTTAGTGAAATAAAATTATCTACGAATATAATTAAGTGCTGGGTAGATTTTCTAGTATATAAATTATTTAAATAAAAATATTTTTTATAATAATTTTAAAATTGAACGACTGTATGGTTCGTATAATTTTCAGAGTAAATACACTCTTAATATACAAATTAAGATGTGAAAAGTTCCAATAAATGTGATATGATCAATTAAAATTAATTTATTCTATAAAAACATAATTCGTGCTGTGGAAAAATGTATATAGTATTATCTTCGTAATGTAAAACTATCCGTACAACGCACGCAGTCGCCATAAATATTGCATCATACGCGATTACAGCTAACGCGCCGGCCTGTACATCTCCTTTTACTTTCTCATATTTTTCACATGTTCCAGGATTGTTTCGCAGCTGCACTACGGAATAAAACCTCTACGGAGCAATGGCGATAGCGTTCGATACGACGCGGCGGCCGCGTAAAATAAGGCGAAACGCGCGAAATACGCGATGCGTAACATATAAATCGCTTTACTGATATATACGCGAAATCGAGGATGCGGAATGTACGCTTATAAACGCATAGAGATGTACCTGGTTCCGTACTCCGCTTGTCGAATTTCGCGTTTCATCTTCCGGCGGCGCATCCGCCTCGGATAATTTATTGTCAAATATGAGCGTCGCTTAAATGCGCGTGACGTCAGATGATTTTTATGTCTCGTCAGTGAACTAACCGCTGTTTGATGACTCGCGCGGAGCGAATTGAATTTAATCTTGTATCCGGTAGCCGAGTATCGCGTCGAGCTGGTTATCTGGTAGTTTACAGAATAATGACGTAGATGTTGATTAAATTAATCACTTTGGAGAGGGAGAGAGAGAGAGAGAGAGAGAGAGAGAGAGAGAGAGAGAGAGAGAGAGAGAGAGAGAGAGAGAGAG